GGATATGTGCATGTATGTGTGTATGTATGTATGTATGTATGTGTGTATGTGTATGTATGGATGTTTGTTTGTATGTATGTACATATGTATATATGTATGTATGAATGTACGAATGTATGAATGTATGAATGTATGGATGTATGGATGTATGGATGTATGGATGTATGGATGTATGGATGTATGGATGTATGGATGTATGGATGTATGGATGTATGGATGTATGTATGTATGTATGTATGTATGTATGTATGTATGTATGTATGTATGTGTATGCGTGTGTGAATGTATATATGTATGATTGTACAGATGTATGCATGTGTATGTTTGTAAGTATGTATGTTGTATGTTAGCATGTATGTATGCATGCATGCATTCATGTATGAATGTACGTATTCCCGTTTGTATGTTTGTTCCACGGGACTCCCCCCCCGAAATCGGACCCCCGAGTCCTGGGCCCCCGGGACCCTCTGGAACCCCCGGATCCGTGCCCTGGGGACCCCCTGGACGCCCCTGCAGGACGCCCCCCGGGCATCTTAGAGCTCCTGGAAGCCCTTGCTGGGCCTAGGCAACGGGCCCAAATCGGTCAGGGGGGCGGCCGAACGCCCCCCCGAGGGCCTCAAGAGGCCCCAGACACCCACCAGACGCCCGTTTTTTACATGACTTGGGGAATGCCCTGTTCGTCCGAGACCGCTGGGGTTCGAAAATCGCCCCACAACCTTCCGAAAAAGCTTCCAGGCAGTCTAAGAGAGCATCAAGACGGCACAACAGGGTTCCAAGATGGCCTTAGAGAGCCCCATGACAGACCAAGATGGCTCTAAAACATCCTCCGAGATATTCCAAATCGTGACCCGGTCGTTCAGGGAGACCGCGGTTGGAGGCAGGTTCGCCCGAGGACGCCCGCAAAGGCCCCCAGAAGACGCCCAGGAGGCCTCCAAGAGGCCGTAAGAAAGCCTGAAAAGCTTCCGTGAGGCCCCCAGAGGCTCTGAGCTGAGGAGGATGGGGAAGACTTCGCAGAGTAGGGCGAGAATGAAGAAAAAGAAGCGTGAAAGAAGAATAACGAAAAACATTAGTAGAACGGCGATGCCAGAAAGGACAACAAGGAGTTATCGCTAAATTGTCTGTGTGGCCTTCCTGCCATTCCGCCTGCATACCAAACTTCCAGGACCAAGATGCATGGCGCGAAACGTCAATGAAGTCTTGTACCTACACATGTAGTGATGTATGCTTGTATGCATGTACGCATGCATGCATGATTGTATGTATGCATATATGTACGTGCGTCCGTATGTATGTGTGTATGTAGATGTGTTTATTCGTGCGTATATACGTATATATAAACCTATATATATATATATATATATATATATATGTGTGGATGCGTGTTTGGATGTATGTATGTATGTGCATGTATGGATATATGTATGCAGGCATGTATGTGTATACGTATGGATGCATGTATATATGTATGAATGTGTGTGTGCATGTTTGCATGTATGTGTAAATGCATGTATGTAGTTATGTGTGTAGGTAAAAATGTTTGTAGATATGGGTTGATGTATGTATGCATATGTGTGTGAGTATGCAAAGACGTATGTGTATGCGTGTGTGTATGCATGTATGATTGTGTAAGTATATGTATGCATGCATGCATCATTGTATGTATGCGTAGATGTGTATGTGTGTACGCATGCATGCACACATGCGCATGCACGGTTGTGCGTATGCATGCATGTATGTATGTGTGCATGTATACCTGGGTGGATTGATGTATGTATGTGTGTGTGTGTCGAAGTGCATGCATGTGTGTATGTATGCATGCATGTGTATATGTGTGTAAGAATGTGTGCACGTGTGTATTATATACATATAGATAGATGCGTGGATGCATGTGTGTATACATGTGCCTGAATAAATGAATGTATGCATGTATGTGCATAAATATATGCATGTATGCATACATTAAGACATGCATACACACATGCATAAATACATACATGCATGCATGCATACATACATACATACATACATAAAGGCACATACATGTAAACATAGACATACATGCATACACACATGCATGCATGCGTATATACATATACAGATAAGTGTGTGTGAATATGCATGAATACATGCACGTACATGTATACATACATGCCTATGCGAATATAGTACAGTCGCCGTAATTAATGATCCAGTGACGCGAGTGGGCCCGTCCTGGGGATCTCTTGGAGCTGCTGTGAGCCCGTCTGCGGAGCCTGATAGGTCATCTTAGGGCCCTCTTGAGCCGTCTCGGGCCCCTCTGGGCCGTCTTCGTAGGGCGGTCTGGAGGCGAGCCGTGTTCGGGCTCCCACCGGCTGCTTGGAAACCATCCAGGGGCCCTTGTGGGGCGTCTTGAGACGCTCTTGGACTCGTCGCCCCTCTTGAGCCATCTTCGGCTTCCCCTGGGCCTCTATTGAAGCCCTCTGCGGCGCCTTGCTGGCAATATTGTTTCGAGCTCGGGGGCCTCTTGGGCCGTCGTGGCGGCTCCACAAACGGAGGAGGCGAGTGTGCGAAAATCTTACAAAAGTCTCAAGAACGTCAATGACTTGGGCCTCGTCGGGGCCTTCGGGCCACCTGGGGCCGTCAAGGTAGCATGTTGCTCCGTCTTTCGGTCATTTGGGGCTTGGGCCCTCTCGGGCAGCACCGGGCCCCCATCGGCCCCTCCTTAAGTTGTGGCGGATCAGCTTCCTGTGCCCAGGGGAACCGAACTCATCAGTGCCACTAACCTCACGCCCGTGAGAATAAACACTAGGGGATAATAAAGTTCGGGGTTCAGGGAGAGATAATAAAAGTAGCCCAGCAGACCTCAGCATAATCTCGAAGTAAGAGATGATCAAGAGGAGACCAAGCCGAGCACGTTTTGAGACATCCTTGGCGTTTAGTTTTCATAGAAATATCCTCAACAATGGCTTATCTCGCTGGAGACATCCTCGACAAATCCCTTGTTTCGCTTGAGACATCCGCAAACTATTGCTTACTTCGCTTGAACATTCTCGAGTAGATGCTTGTTTCGCTTGAGACATCCTCGGAATAGCTCATCCGCCTCGGCGTCCCTAGATAATCAACGGCGGCGATAATAAAGTTCAGGCGGGCGGAGGAATGGAGGAAGCTATATATAAAAAAGAAAAATAAAAAAGAATAAATAATAAAATAAAAGCAATGATAGGAGGAGGAGGAGGAGAAGGAGGAAAAGAAGAAAAAAACTCGAGTTTCAAATCTATTAGATTTTATTTACAGGCGCTTTATGAAAATTGTTTTTTGTAAGTGCTCGTGTAGGGTAGCTCATGTGCCTCAATTTCCATGGATAATCAACCCCAGAGATAAAAAAGTTCAGGCGAGCGTGGGGACAGAGAGAAATATAAAAGAAGAAGAATACAGTAGAAGAATAATAAGAAAGAAGAAGAAGAGGAGAATAAGAAGAGGACGAAGAAAGGAAAAATCCAAAGTTCCAAATCTATCAATTTTAATTTACAAACGCTTTATGAAAATTGATTTTTTTAAGTGCTCGTGTAGGGTAGCTCATGTGCTTCATTTTCCATGGATAATCAACCCCAGGGATAAAAAAGTTCAGGCGAGCGTGAGGACAGATAGAAATATAAAATAAGAAGAAGAAAGTAGAAGAATAATAAGAAGAGAAGAAGAAGAGAAGAAGAAGAAGAGAAGAAGAACGGAAAAATGGCAGGTTTCAAATCTATCAATTTTAATTTACAAACGCTTTATGGAAATTGAATTTTTAAGTGATCATGTAGGGTAGCTCATGTGCTCCCCTTTCCATGGATAATCAACCCCAGAGATAAAAAAGTTCAGGCGCGCGCGGGGATAGATACATATATAAAAAGGAAGATAATAAAAAAAAATATAAATAAAAAGAAAAAACTTGCTGGTTTAGCTTGAAACATCCTTGAGACATCCTTGGAACATTGCTCGTTTCGTTTGAGTCTGCCTCCCAAAATTGTTGGTTTCGCTTGAGACATCCTTGAAACATTGCTCGTTTCGTTTGAGTCTGCCTCCCAAAATTTTCGGTTTCGCTTGAGACATCCTTGAAACATTGCTCGTTTCGTTTGAGCCTGCCTCCGAAATTGTTTGGTTTCGCTTGAGACATCCTTGAAACATTGCTCGTTTCGTTTGAGTCTGCCTCCCAAAATTATTGGTTTCGCTTGACACATCCTGAAAAAGTGTGATCGCTTCGCTTGATGTTGCTATATCAACATCGCTTGATGTTGCTATCTCAACATAGCGTTTCGAGGTGATAATGAAGTTCGGCCTCAGCGCTCGCCGCCCAATTTGAATTTTGTATAGGGCGACGATAATCAACTCTAAACACTGAAGGGGGGGGGGTCCCTTTATTATCATCGGCATGCGGTTACCCTCCCAGCGCCCTGCCTCCTTCGTGGGCCGCCCCTCCCCTTTAGAATCTCGCGTCCTCTCCCCCCCTTCGCGCATGTCGCCCCCCCCCCTCCGCTCAACTGCCCCCCCTTCACGTACACCCCCGCCCCCCCTGCATCCGACCACCGCACGACGCCGTCCTCCCAGAGTCAGTCCTTCTGTATCCCCGTGCTCCCTAACCCCTAACCTCCTCCCTCCTCTCCTTCTCTCCTTCGCCCGACGTAGACTGCAGAGGCAGAGGCTTTCTGATGGAGCAGGAAGAACACAAAGGTGAGCGCAAAAATAATATTCCTCGCTGGCCCGAAGAAGAAGCCCGACTTGGCACTGATAATGTTATGTGGCTGGTTCAAGAAAGCCTGAAGCCCAAAAAGCTGACATCTCTTGGATGACAAACTCTTACTTCCGCCAGCTTCCGCCGGACTTCCGCCAGCTTCCGCTGGCGGAGCCGCCCTCGCTTCACTCATTTCAGCTGCCGCCGCCACCTTCCGCCGAAAGGATGCCAACTTCTCGATCCATCGGAGACGAGGTCCTCTCCGGAATGCCTCATGCGTCGAACAGCATCGCATGATTCACCTTTTTCCTGCCGCGGGGCGCAGGCACTGGCCTGGAGTCACAGCAGCTGGCGCGTTCACGTGATGGTGGTCTTCACGATCTGCCCCTTCGCTCCGGCCGCTCCGCCGCCCCGCCAGCGCATGTACCCATCCCGCCACTTCTCGTACTCCTCGAACTTGCCGGCCTCCTTCAGGCGGTCGGTGAGGTCCGGCAGCTCGGACTCCAGGGCGCCCGTCAGCGACGAGCCGCGCGACGCGCGGGGCGCGCGCGGCTCCGACGCGACGGCCCCCACTGGGGCCTCCGCATGTGAGCCGGCCAGCACGACGGCCCAGGAGAGGACCTCCGCCGAGCCGCGCAACAGCCCCACCAGCGTGGAGCCGGCCGTGCTCGCCAGCACCTCTGCGGCGACGCCGCGCCCTCCACCGTGGGCGGGGACGTGCTGGATGGACCGCCACGCCAGCGCCCGCACCAGCGTGGCGGCCGACGCCTTCAGGTTCCGCTCCAGCTGCGCCGCGACACGCGGCAGGGGCGCGGCCCCGCCGGCGATGGCAGAGGTGGCCGCCGCCAGCGCGACGCTGCAGGCAGCGACGAGCTGAGCAGCCGCCTTCTCCTGGCCCGTGCCACCCAGCAGCTCGGCGACGCCCACCCCGTGGCGCAGTCGGAGAGCGACCCGGGCAAGCAGAGACAGCCTAAGCCTCAGCATGCCGATGGCGGCTGCCAGGGAGCACCACGCGTTCGCGTCCACAGTCTCGCCGTCGAGGCGGTCCGTAGCCTGAGACGCCAAGCCGCGCGCGGGCGCCAGCGCGCTACCGATCTCGTCCAGAAGGACCTGCACGTCGGCGAGGGAGACCGTGGCCGCAAGGGCCAACCCTGACGCCTGGAGGTCCAGCTCCTGCGCAGTGGCGCTGGCGAGCGACTCGACCGACAGCTCCCGCGACTTCACGCTGCTGATCTGCCTCGGCGGCGGGCCGTCGCCCGTGCACGTGCCGCCCGAGGCGCCGCCAGACGCGTGCGGGCGGCTCCTCGCCAGTTCCGCGAGCAGGGGCATGCACGCCGCGGACTCCGGGTCGAGCTGCGCGGGCCCCGCCTGCGCGGGGCCCTCCAGCTGCGCCTCTGCGCCGGCGATGCCCTCGGCCAGCACGGGGGCGCCCCGGGTCAGCAGGATCCCATCGGCCAGCCCCGACAGGCCCGCGGAGGGTCCCATGTCGCTCCGGCACGCGGCCTCGCTCGGGCTGCCCTGGTCCAACGGCAGCGTCACCGCCGCGAACGGGTCGAGCGCGGCGAGGCCGACCGACGCCCCCGAGAGCGCGGGCTCGAACGCCGCGGCGACGATCGCGGCGTTCTGGTGCGCCTCCGAGCCGCCGGGTGCGTGCGCCTGCTCGTCGGCGGGCGGATCCGCGGGGCTCGGGGCGGCGGCCGCCCCCTTCTGCGGGGCGCCGCTGGCGATCTCGCCATGCGACCCGTCCGCGCTGCCGCCCCGCCAGCGCATGTAGCCGTCACGCCAGCTGAGGTAGTGCTCGTAGAAGCCAGCCTCCTTGATGCGCTCGGTCAGGTCGGGCAGGTCGCCCAACGTCTTGAGGTCGCCCACGGCACCTATCGTCTTGGCGCGGTCCCTCTGGTCCTCTGGCTGCCCGCGGCTGCTCAGCCTCTGGGGCGCGGCCGCTCCCCCTGCCGCCCGCAGGGTCCTCAGCATCGGGTCGGCCTCCCCCGCGATGCAGCGGTGCTCCGCCGCGCTCGCGCCGACATACTGCAGCACGTCCCTGGCCAGGCGCGGCGTTATGGCGACGTTCTCGCTGGACGACGTGACCAGCGCAGACAGCGCGGCAAGAGATCCTGCCGTCGCTGCCGCGAGGCGGGAGCGAAGCATGGTGTCGGCGTGCATCGGCATCACCCCCAGCTCCACCGCCGCCACGAGGAGGCAGGCGAACATGTTGAAGGCTACTATGGAGCTCAGGTCCGCGGAGTCGCCGATGGCCAGCGTGAACTTGAAGGACACGAAGGCAGAGCAGAAGCCTGCGTAGGAGTAGGGGCCGCCGCGGAAGCTGATCAGCATCACGAAGCCGACCCAGCAGGAGGCGATCAGCGCATTGGCCGCGGAGCAGGACACAAATCCCCACCAGCTCACCCCGATCGCCTGGTGGAGCCGCAAGATCATGTTCTGTATGGCGCTGCCCACGGTGGCGCCCGCGGCGATGCCGACGCCGCGCAGGGCGACGCGCCGCAGCGAGCTGCCGCAGTGCTGCGAGCCGTAGCTGCACACGTACGCAACGGTGGCAACGGTCGTGCTGTCCAGCTCGAAGAGGTAGATGGACGCGAGGCAAGCTGGCAAGAAGCTGAGCATCACCTTGAGGGCGATGCGCCATCGCATTCTCGTGGCGGCCGCGACATGCGCCGCGCACGCACAGAGCGGGGCGCACCTCGAGCTCAGGCAGGACAACCAGCGCCTGGCCAGCTCCTGCACCCTGGCCGCTGCACCGTGGCTGCTCACCGTCTCGCCGCCCACCGACGGCGCCGCTCGCTTCACCAGCGGCGCGTGCAGGGAGCCGAACCCGGAGTGCAGGGACTCGGTGCAACAGCTCTCGCCGCCTATCGAGCCATTGTCCGCATCGTCTGCCTCCTCGTCCACCCGTGGCAGCCGCCACCGTGCGCCGCCGGGGATGGGTGCGGTGGCGGCGCGCTGCAACGTCGCCTGCTCTCGCGCGGCATCCGCCTCGCTGCGGAGCAAGTCCGCCGCAAGGGCGTGCACCAGGAAGAGGAACGCGGCCATGTCGGAGCGGGCCCCAGCCAGCTCACTCCGGGACATCTGTAGGAGGCTTGCTCTGGCTGGGTTCGCGTCGTCGTCAGCGCCCCCAGCATCGTCGCTGGCGCCTCCGTACGTGCTAAGCAGAAGCAGCTCGCGAGCCGCGGCGCTGCTGTTTCTCAGGGCCTTCTTCGCGGCCACGTGCACAGCTCGGCGCTGGGTGCGCCCAGCGGGGTCCCCCGGCTCCTCCAGGGGCTGATGCCCGTGGCCCGCGCGGCTGCCCTGGAAATTTGCGCGGGCCGAGTCCCGCAGCAGCGCGGCTGCCGCCTCGGCCACGCGCGCGAGGCGGTCCGCCGTCCTCTCCCGCACGGCCACGGCCTCGAAGCCAGTCGCGCCCGCCTGCGCCTGCACCGCGAGCTCGCAGAGCAGCCTGCATGTGTCCAGGGCGCTCGCGGCGTTCGCGAAGGCCGCCTCCCGGCGCGCCATCCACGCCGCCTGCGCGGTGCGGCCCGAGCGCGACATGCGCTTCACAATCACGCGCGGGTGCCAGTTGCGGAAGCCCACGGCACGCCGCGCCTCGACGAGCCGGGCCTCCACCACTCGGGTGCGGTGCAGGGCCATCGCACGCCAGGCGTCGCCTGCCCCAGTGCACAGGAACGCCAGGGTCGCCTCCGTGATGAGCTCAGCACAGCCATCCGCCACGTCCTCAAAAGCGCTCGCCGCACTCTGCAGGGCGTTCGAGTCCGCGAGCCACGGGACGCGCACCATGTACGCAAGCACTATGCAGAGCGTGCCGCAGAAGGTCATGGCAACGTACTCCCCACACAGTTGCGCGACGGGCACTTGGCTGTCGGAGAAGATGCTGATTGTGAAATACGACATGAGGCCGACCATAGTCATCTTGACATTGTCGGCCACCGGGAGCAGGCAGATCGCCCCCGCCAGAAGCGTGGCCTCCACTGGCACTAGAAGCGACAGCCAGCAATCCACCCGCACAGTGCCCAGCCCCCCTAGCCAGCACCCCGCCGCCGTGCCGAAGACGGCGCCGAAAGTGCCAGCGACCGTCTCCGCGGACAGCTTCACGGTCTCCTCCAGCGAGCCGCCAGCGCAGAAGATGGCGACGACGGCAGCGTTCTGCAGCAGCGGCTGCGTCTCCTCGCTGAAGAGGTCCTTCAGAGGCTTGACCAGGACGAGCGAGCTCGCGACACAGGAGCCCAGCGCCACCCTCACGGCCAGGCTGACCTCCAGGGACAGCCGAGCAGGCCCGCCAGCGCGCCGCCGCATCTGCGCGTGTCGAAGGCGCTGCCATGTGGAGGCATTGGCGATCCTCACAATCGGGCCGACTGGCGACGGAGGTGGGGAGGAGGGAACCCGCTTAGAGAGACACCGCTCTCGGAGACACTGCTGATGCTACGCTCGGTCGTTCGGGAGAACTCTGGGAAGCTTCAGCACCGTGGGGTCTGGCGCCCAGGCGTTGGCGTCTTTGCCGCCAGGCTGGGGATAAATTCCTAAGGCGTATGACACGGCGCCACGGGACAATCGTAAGGACAGGCGGCAGGTGCCCCTGGCCTGCACAAAGCCGCGTGACGTGTCCGGGCCCCCGTGCCTATGACGCGTGGGTCGGAGTGGGTCAGGGCGGGATTCACAGTGCCAGCCCGGGCCCTGGCGGACATGCGAAGGGCTGCGGGGCACCAGCGGGCCCGTGGGATGCGGCGCGGAAACCCGAGCGCAAGATCCAAGACCATGCAGAACACAAACTCGATACCATCCAAGGTCTTTCGAAAGTGAGCTTCCGCAGGATGAAGACAGGTCAGAGGAGGAAGGAACGAGGAGCAGAATGTCATCCGTCTCACTCCACCCAGCGCGACCATATATGCGTGTGCGTACACGCGATGCGGCATCACATCACACAGTAATGCATCTGCGATTGATGCAAGACACTGATGCTGAATGATAGATGGTAGGCTATGCCATGTGGCGAGACGGTTTAGCTCAATCCGAAATGTTCCATGTTATGTTAGCTGGCGTGGACCACAAGCAGTGTGTTCCTAGCCATGTGTGGCGTGGTGGGGCAAACTATTGTGTGCAATAAATGTAGTTCGATCTATGTTGTGCCATAGAGACTGTGCTATCTTTATTATGCTACTAATATATGCAAATGTGTATATTTGTGTATGCGTGGTGCAATGTATGTGGTGCTATCGATTTGGTGCAATTGGTTTTTACCCATGATTTGACGCATCCCATGCTCTTGCAAACATCCCACCCACCCACCCACCCACAATT